GAACTTCAAGATCCGTATGGCGCAACGCACTAACTCCAGGCGCGACCATACGCAATACGAGTGTTTCGACGTCTCGGGCCTCCTCCGGCTCGCGGCGGCGTGCAAAAATGTGGACGGCAACGGGAACAGAGGGAAGCATCGGGGTGAGTTTTGATATCGTCCCTTCTGACGATAAATATAACTCTCTTCTCCTCGTAACAACTTGAAAATTGGCTTCGTTACACAAATAGATTTTGATATGTCGGGTAAATTAACTTTGGAAGATAAACCAAAGGATTTTATGTTCGGAGTATAGCAAAATATAAATTTAACTTTTGTTGTATTTTCTTTTTTGTTTATTTGATTAACGATTGTGTTTTAGTTTAGTAATTAGTTTGTATTAATTTAAAACACGAATTATACATTTCGAAGACGTAAGAAATATAATGACTGTTATTGAGAAACTATAATCAGAGATATACTAATTTTAGCGAGATAGATTTATTCATCTCTGTTAAGTTGGAATCCCCATCATCACAAATCGAATTCACATCCATCAAAAAATTCAATGCTATTTATGTGCTAATTTGTTGCTCCAATCTGAATTTTGTTACTCTAATCGTTTGGCAGAAAATCGCGTTCAAATTTGTGGGCCAGTTTACCATTAAGCGAGACCTCCATAATAAAAAAAATATATAGGCGTATCATAAAAAGAAAAATCAAAATGTTACTAATTTATTACTCCATAGTGCAATAACATATAAAAAATTCAATATTTTTACGAAATAATATTATCTACAGAGTATCGCTCAAATATACAGTAAAATACAAGTAAAAATATGAAAGAATCGAAAGATAGAGCAACTAATTAACAAAAAAAAAATAATTTTGATGCGAATTTGATTTACAGTGATAGGGATTCCAGCTTAATAAAGGTGATTAATTCTGAATTCCAAATTTTTGTTTTTCCGTTCTTACATTTCTCTTTGATTTTAAATAAATGTAAAATATTTCATTAAAACATTAGAGAAGCAAACTTAAATTAAAAATCTTAATTATTGTCATTTGAAAAAATTAATTCATAAATTAGTTTGATAAAAAATGGGTGAACAAGCTATTAAATAATTTGTAAAAATATTCAATTACGACTCGCGAATTGATCTGCATGCGAATATTTCGCTTCCGTTATTTTACATGGTATTTAATCCAATTACGAATCAATCGAGTCTCTCGGTTACGCCGTTTTATCATTGTGGCACGGCTAACAACAAGATCGTTCCCATCGCGAATCGAATAATTCTATCGTGACTGGTGTATGTCGGCAACCACAGACCTCTTCCGTATAAATCAGCAATATCACGTGCTTCATTACGTATTCCATGTCAAACGGTCCGTAGTGAGCAACTCTCTCGCGCATACTCCTCGGATCGATGGTCTTGTTTTATCGCGCGAAACACACGGCTGAAAACCTGTAGTGCTGGTTTCGAAACGAGTATCGCAAATATTTACGTTACTCCTCGTATTTAAATTTAGACCTTCGCCGTGTCGCCGGTGAAGAGTAGGATGTAGGCGCAGTCACGAGTCGCGCGTATAGCATAGACTTTTTTTACTTGTCTCTAAGATGAGAGCCGAGCGCAAAAAGCGCCGTTTAGAGGTGCGTTCAAAGAGGCGGATTGAGACGAAAAACGAAGCTTGAACCGAGTCCGACGGATCCTTGCTGCACGAGTAGTCATCCCAAACGTGTCGCGCCATTTTCCAGTTTACGAATTCTTTGATATATTTTGAATCACTCTCTCGCTGCTGAATATTTAATGGAAAGCCAACACCCGACCTAACTTTTCACTTTTCGATATTAAGTAATCTCGGTAAGCCGGCTTGAAATTATATTTTCGCTACGATAAAGCTCCGGGGAAATAAAATATGATTTACGTATTTGCATTTTTGAAGCTTTCGTCACGCATAAACCTCTTATCCTCCAATAACTTGCGGTTCAAGAGTGATGAATGGATACCGAAATTGAACATGGAGCAGTCTCTAATTTAACAAGATAGATTTCTCGAAGAGTATTGCCTCACTCTATTAAGTACAATACTTTTACTGTGATTTATTGGCCGTAATCCAATTCTTTTCCGGGACAATTATACTTCACTTCTGATTTTGCCTCGTGCACGACCGCTGATTGTTGTTGCTAACGATGATGCGTTGAAATGTCTTTAACAGAGACGACGGGCACCAGCAACGACATCGTTTTCGCTGGCATAGCGACCCTGCCAAAGAAACGGCCCATCACCGAATTGTCGATAATGGACGCCAATAAAGACGAGTATGTGACGCGGCATCTGGTCGACGGGCGTATCATCTACTGCGATCACAGGATATCCGTCGTTGCCGGGTACATGTCGGAGGAGGTATCGGGCCTGAATGCGTTTGCTTTCATGCACAAGGACGACTTCAGGTGGACGATGATTGGCCTACGGCAAAGTAAGCTTGAAATATAATTAGCGCTCTCATTGGAATGTCCTCCGCATCATTTTACACAATAATGTTTTTTTCTTTTTCTGAAGAATTACGAGTATCAAAAAAAAGTATTTAAATATTTAATTATTTGAATAAATATTACACACTATATTTTTTATCACATGCTCAATAGTTAGTTAAATCGTCTCAATACTATATATCGCCGTATACATTTTTGTAATAGATTAATAATGTTATGTTATGCGTTGGTTTAATGCATTCAGGCTTTACGACGAGCGCTTATGAGACGTCTTGCATGTTATTTTCATAATCAATTACAATTTAAATATAGTAACAAAATATATGTAAAGCGACCTATTTAAAGTCCAAGAAATATAATGGATCACATATCGTTTTGTTCCTGTCATAATTTTTTATGCATTCACAGTGTACGACCGTGCCGAAACGTGTGGTATGTCGTGCTACAGGTTGGTCACAAAGACCGGCGAATTCATCTACTTACGGACTCACGGTTATTTGGAATACGACAAGGACACGCAAACAGTGGAATCCTTCGTTTGCGTCAATACCTTAGTGTCGTAAGTACATTTCGCACCTTAATATAAATTGGGGCAAGTGACAAGGCAGTTTTTGATTGATCCAAACATTAATGCAATAAGTACTATAATAAACGGAATCAATTTTTTTTAATTATAATAATACAATTATTCAAAATTTGAAGACTTGTTGAATAATTAAGATTAAGAATCAATTTGTCAAACAAGCTTTTTGTTTTTACATTTACTCTGCTTTTCCACTTGTTCCAATCAAGAAAATAACTATCCTTTTTGTCTCTTATATGTTAAAGCGAATGTTGAATATTATGTAACACATATTCGATAATATGTAATAATGGAAAGAATTTTGTGTGCAGGGAAGAGGAAGGTATCCAACTAATAAAAGAAATGAAAAGAAGATACTCTGCAACTGTATCTGCAAGTAGTAGAGGTCTAATTCGGAATGTCGACATTAACTTATCGATAGAAATGGTATATATAAATCAAATTATACATATATAAACGTATTATATTTGGAAATCTTTTCATTGTTTTATACACTTTTATCGTTTAATATTTATATGTGAAATTTTAGACAAAGATATTTGTTAACAATTTGAAAAAATTCTGTTTATTAGAATCCAACTTCTCAATCATCAAATCCGAGATGCAGCCTCGAAGACGCATCACAGTTGGAAGATGCTATCACTCATCTAATCAGCGATCTACCCTCGCCGGCTGTATCGGAAGACCGTTTCTCTCCTTCGCCGATGCCACACACGCAATATGTGAAGGCCGCTATATTTTCTTCTCGTATGCCCCCAGCTTCCGCGCAAGCCATCAAGATTGGTATCAATAAAATCGACCGCCGCGTCGTTATCCAAGGCAAAGGCAAAGTATCTTCGAAACAAGAATCCAAACATACAGAAAAAGTTATTAATCCAACTAACGGGGGGGAGCAAAGCCTAATATCGGATTCGGAAAGTGCAATATCATCCGGCAAGTCTTTGTCAATGCTCAGAATGAATGGTACTCACAACAACCATAGCAACATTCAAAGCTCCGACATGTCTGTACAATCGAAAATTGTAGCTCCTCGCAAGCCTAATAAAAGTCCTCGCGCGCCTCGCAATCATACGTCATGTTTGGACGTTTCTCAAGGTACAAACGTCGTCTTGAACGCGCAGGAAAGAATAGATCAGTGCAATGCAGATATATTGCCGGCAAGCACTGTAGGCAATATCAAAGAGGAACGCAGCATCGAAGAGACATTTAATTGTCTAGAAAAACAGGAGACGGCAATGCAATACTTTGATGACAGCGCGAGTGATAGTTCCATCGTCTCACCGGGGATGGAGATGCACAATCGATTGAAGAGGATATGTAGCGATGAAGATGTTCTGACGATGCATAGTAAGAAGAGATCCAACGACGTATATGCATTGACGAATATGAACAACGAACAGCAACGCTTGTCTTATGTAAAATGCAGATCGTTTGCTACTGAATATCCAACATTTCCAGACGAGTTTAATCAATACAATGACATTTCGCAATCGCTGACGATGGCGGAATCACCTAATTCAAGTCTACATGAAGTTGGAACCGACTATCAATTAGATCCTACCGTGCCATTGATCATAAATCACGATGTTGAGGATGATACTTTACTAAGTACGGAATTGGATGCAAATCCAGGTAAATTATAAGTAATTATTAATAGTTTTTTTTTTATGGATTTCAATTGATGATTGAAGATTTGATGTATAACAAAGTATTTCTTGACTTGCTTTGACTTTTTTTGACTTTTTGCAGTTACTATTTACTTGAATATTATTAATTTATGGAATTCTGAGACCTTTGTTTTATTCCGTTATTTTAGAATTAAAAATTAAATTTGTTTTGAGTTTATTTTTATCGCAGTATAATATTTTTTTCACTGAAAATTTTTAAATATACACACACGCGCGCGCGCGCGCGCGCGCGTGTGTGTGTGTGTGTGTGTTA